TAACACACTTAAACTAAATGGATGAATTGCAGCCACTTTCAGTGTTTCAAGTCCCCTTGGACTGACAGAACTGCAGATTAGTAAGTTGTTAGCAAGTGATCTGCTGACCTGCTCCATCGTTCTTCGCTTTCACTCCATCCGCTCGTAAAGGCGCGAAACACTAAAGTGCAGGAATGTGTCAATCACTGCATTTTCAGTTTTGTGGCTTTCTCTGGTTTTTGACTAAGAAATTACCAAAATGGGTGAAAGAGGATGCTTGACATGTCCAGTAAGTTCAGTTGGCTTTGGATCAAAATGCAGCATGCACAGGAGATGACAGGTCCCCTGCTAACACAAAACAGCTCAGGATAAAGGCTGAACTCCTTTCAGCTGGATGGGGCTGTCTAAAAATCAGCATATCATAGAATCAGAGAGTGGTTTGGGTTGGAAGGAACCTTAAAGATCATCTTGTTCCAACCCCCTGCCATGGACACCGACATCTTCCACTAGACCAGATTACACCAACCTGGCCTTGGACACTTCCAGGGATGGGGCAGCCACAGCTTCTCTGGGCAACATGTGCCAGGGTCTCACCACCCTAATAATAAATAATTTATTCCTAATAGCTAATCTAAATCATTGCTCTTTGGGGTTTATATCCTCTGTTTAACAGGCTATGAAATTATGATGAGGTGGAAAGGGTGTATTGAGACAGACTGCCAACATCTTTTGTCAGTGGAAGGAAAAAATGGATATTAAATTATAGTAGTTGGAGCCAAATTTAGTGAAAAAGAAAAAAAAAAAAAAAACAAAAAAAAAAAAAAAAACCAAACCTTGGGGTTTCGGGGGCTTTTTTTTTTTTTCCTCTCTTGGCAATAGATCTTTGAAACTTGTTTTCAAGCCACACCATCACCTGGAAATCCCCTCAGTAGAAAAATTAGGATTGAAGACTGTGAGAATATTAGGGAGAAAAGATCAAAGGTACTTTTTTCTGTCTCCTATTTACTTGTTTTTGCCAGTGCTGGAGACAGAATACTGAATGATGTGTAGCATTGAGCTGAGGCAGTAGAATTGTCCTCATGTCCTACCTTGTGCTGATGAAGGCATAGAAGGCTCCTCAAGGCTTCCTCCTGCTTAGTTCAAGCAGCTGTTTTTCCCAGCACAGCAGATTTCACAGAATCATAGAATATCCTGAGTTTAAAGTGACCTACAAGGTTCATCAAAGTCTGACTCTTGGAATTGTATGTACAGTAAAATTTTTCATGTGTGTCATTAAAAGGGAGAAAAAGTCAAGAAATTGTTGAAGAGTTGATGGTATGTACAACACTATCAGTTTTGAGATCTGTCTCCTTTTGTGAACTCAGTTTTGTCAAACAGTCATTTTTAAAGGTCTCAGAATCTGAGAAATTTTCCTGGCTCCTGCATGGCTTGTCAGCAGCAGCACGAGGCACCCAAACAGATTTCTTTTCTCATGTTCACATTCATCCTTAAGGCACCAGAGAAAAAAACCTGTTTCTTATTCCACTCCAGACTAAGAGGACCTGACAACTTAATAATTGAACTGGGTACTTAGCTCACCATGCCTCTGATGTGCCTCTTTTTAATTGATTTTGTCAGGATCTTTTTAACTTCTCTTCCACTGTTGCCAGCATGCTCTCACTCCTTGTAATGCCTTTGCAAAGAGGTTTTATTAGAATTTTCCCCTGTCATATCACATTCTCACCTCTTTGTTACCAATTAACCCTCTACACCACGGTGGTTTGCAGGGTCTGCCAAACTGAACTGCCTGCTGTTGGAAATCTTTGAGCTCTGTGTCTCTGCCAGAGATATTGTAAAGAAGAAGAAACTGTGACTGTATTTTCTCCCAAAGCATCAGTAACAGAAACAGCTGCTTAATGGCATCGTTAGATATTCTATTTTCCATGAGGAGGGCAAAGGAAAATGTACCCATGAAGTGACTGAAGAAATAGAAAATAAATCTTCACTTGCAGTTGCAGTCAATGGCTCAGTGTCCAAATGGGGATTGGTAACAAGTTGTGCCCATTTGGAGCCAGCATGATTTAATATCATTATAAATGTCACAGACACCAGGGCTGAGTGCAGCCTTCTGCAGGTTTGTGAAGGATGCACTAGAAGGATGCTGGGCAGGGGGACTTTGACAGGGAAATGTGAATTGTGTCAAGCTGAACAAGGCCAAGAGCCAAGTCCTGCACCCCATCAGGTGAGATCACTCAGCAGTTCCTGCCCTGGGCAAAACACTCAACTTGGGGAAATTAGTTTAATCTGTTACCAATTAAATCAGAGCAAGATGATAAAAAATAAACCCAAATGTTAAAATACTTTCCCCCATTCCTCCCTGAGTTTGACTTCTTAGTCTTTTGTCCGCTCCCCTTCAGTGGGGCAGAGGGACAGGGAATGGGGCTTGCAGTCACTTCCTCACCCATCTTTGCTGATCCTTCTTCCTTAGGGGGAAGGATTCCTCACATTCCTCCCCTGCTCCGGTGTGGGGTCCCTTCCACATGAGGCAGTTTTCCAGGAACTTCTCCAATGTGAGTCCTTCCCATGGGCTGCACTTCACAAATTGCTCCAGTGTGGTGCCTTCCATGGGGAGCAGTCCTTCAGGAACAGGCTGAGCCCTTCTGGGCTGCTTGTGGGAACAATCAAACCTGCTCCAGCGTGGGGTCCTCTCCCTGCAGGGTCACAGGTCCTGCCAGGAGCCCGTGGACCCTCAAGAGCTGCAGGGGCTTGGCTGCCTCACCATGGGCTGCACCCCGGGCTGCAGGGAATCTCTGCCCCAGCTCCCGGAGCAGCTCCGGCCCCTCTTTCTCCTCTGACCTGGCTGTCTGCAGGGCTGTTCTCTCACACATTCTCACTCCTCTGACTGCTGCTGGGCTTCCACTGCTCAGCCTGGGGGGGAGAAGGCTCTGCACAGACCTCATTGCACCATCTCAAAGAATGAAGGGAGTTTGTAAGAAAGACAGAAATTCTTTTCACCAGGGTGTGACAGGAGAAGAAGCAATGGTTTTAAACTGAGGCAGGGGAGGCATAGATTAGACATAAGGAACAAATCGTTTAGAGTGAGGGTGGGGAGGCCCTGGCTCAGGTTTCCCAGAGAAGCTGTGGCTGCCCCATCCCTGGAAATGTTCAAAGCCAGGTTGGGAAAGGGCTTGGAGCAACCTGGTTTAGAAGAAGGTCCCTGGAGCAGAGACTTGGACTACACAGTCCTCGAAGGTCCCTGCCAAACCAAACCATTTTCTAATTCTATGATTTGGCATGAATATACTGTTTTATCATGGCCTCATGAATTGTTTGGTTTTTTTTAATGACATTTACGATTATAACCAAGTCTAAAATACACAACAGCCCATCTTTGTTGCCACATGATTTCCTCCTTGCTTGAAGCCAGGCAACCTCTGTAGTTTCAGCAGAGAAATTCTTTACCTGGGTCATCAATGCCAAATGATCTGCTGTGTGAGCTGGCCCAGGGAAAGCTCAATCACGCTAATGAGGTAATCACTGAGCTCCTAATGAATGGGATTAGTGACTGGGCAAGGATTGTTTGTCCTGGATCCCTTGTTCAAATGCAGCTCGAAGCTCTCAAAATATTTGCTTGCAATCAGCTATGAGCTGGGTTCGTTTCATCTTTCACTAACTAGATGAAAATTATTTTAATCTCTGCAGGATTTGCCAAATGTGCTGATGGAGGCAGTTTGCACTTTGTGGTGGAGAGAAGAGGGGAGTTCAACTTCAGAAGAAAACTCTCTGTAGTAAGGTAAAGCTGTAGGTGTCATAATTTCTAATTTCATGCCAGCACGAAATTTGGCTGGAGAGAAAAAATAAGAGTAACTCTCTATTCATTAACTTTTCTTAATAACAATTAATGAATATTTAATGTAACATATACCAATCCATTTAGGTAGATTTTATATATCTAAAGAAAAGCCACCAGAAACTGTGATTTGTGTTTCTTCCCCAAACCTGACTGTGCTGATCTAAGCAGTGTCACAGTTTTGACCCTGAGTGAGCTTAAGCACCTGCAAGATTTCTCTGAGCATTTTCTGTGCTCAAGCTTTACTGATGAAAGACTGTGACAGCTCTTTGGAAAGGGAGCATGTAACTGATATCAGTGCAGGTGAGAACCCAGTTGAATATTTGTTATTCTTTTCTAAAACTTCACAGTAGCTAAACCCCCATAACATATAGAGGTAACATTTTGTTTTCCCTTTTTTTTTTTTTTCTTTTTCTGGTAAGAAATATTTTTGTCAAAAGATTTTGCTTTTCCCAAAGAGTAAAATATATATGATTTTGTTAAATTCTATTCAATAATTCCTATGGCATTTTAATTAAAACCATTTTTGAAATGCTTTATTTACTGAAGGAAAACTGCATTTATAATACATGACACATTTAAAGATGAATTTAAATGGAACTTTAAATCTTGTTGTCAGGAGAAAACATTATGGATGAAAATGGAACAAAATCACAAATGTTGGTTGCATTGAAACCTTTTAAATGAAGTCTAAAGCAAGATTTGGCATTTTTCATGAGATATCTTGCTTGCTTTTTTTTTAAAGGCCACCAAAAAATTGTAATATAATGTTTTGTTTATTTGTCCTGCTCTTTCAGTGACGTTCCTCATGAATAAATATCGTGTTCTGTGCATACAGTGGGATCAAATAAGCATCTAATTGATGTGTTGTAAACGGCACATGAAATTGTGGAAGTGCTTAGCTCAGATCCAGCAGAGCAAATTCTAAAGCAGCAGTGCGCAGCAGGGGAATCTGAGCCAAATTAAGTTTTAAACATACTAAAACAGTAACAAAAAAAAAAAACAACAAAACACAAAAACCCACACACACAAAGAAAACAACAACAACAACAAAAAACTAAAAAACCAAACCCACCAAAAAAAAAAAACCCAAAACAACACACCAAAAAAAACCAAAAAAACCAAAAAAAACCCAACAAGACAAACAACTTGACTTTCACAGTTTTAAAAGAGCAGAATTGGAGATCTTGGAGCGTGTTAAAAACACAAACAATAGAGATGAATTAACAGCTACTTATCTTACATCACATTGCATAGCAAATATGGAGGCAAAGAAATAGAATTCCCCAGATACAGGGGGCATAATTAAAATCTGTAACATAAGGTAAAATATGCCTATGACAAAAGGGGGGGGGGGGAATAGGCAAAATTATTCACAATGATACCAAAACACAGTATAAAAGTTAGCTTTTCTTTCATACAATTAGTGCTTGTTGGTTATAGCAGGTTTAATATGACGTGATCAGAAATGCAGACATGGACGTGGGGCCTGAATGTGCAGTGCCTTGAGAATCCATTCCACTTCCCAGGGTGACCACAGGCTCTGTAAAACCAAGAACAGCTGGTGAGTATTCACAGGATCCCCAATTTCTGGTGCAGGGGTGTGTCACTGATGGAGGGGTGGCTGCTCCCAAAAGGCAGAGATAACAAAGCAGACCAAGCTCAGGGAATTGTATTTTCACTGATTCCAGGCTAAGGTAATTGTGGAAGTGGAAGGGATGAGAAGGCTGGGACAGATTACCCACAAAGGCTGTGGACTCTGAGCCCCTGGAAATATTCAAAACCAGGTTGGAAGGGGCTGTGAATAACCAGGTCTAGGGGAAGATTCCCTGCCCATGGCAGAGAGGTTGGAATGAGATTGTCTTTAAGGTCCCTTCCAACCCAAAATTTTTGATGGTTCTGTGATTCTATGACTGAGAATACAGAAAAAAACCCCCAAATTCATCAAGAAAATACAGCATTTAATCTGCTGTAGCAAGGAAAAAAGTAATTTTTGTGTTCTCTTCAATGCCAGCAATTCCCATACCTGGAGAAAAGTGCATTTAGTTTTAAAAATTAGTTTTCTGCAAAATGGACAAAGAATAAAAGAAAGAGCATGGCACTGGTGCACTTTTCTGGAGACAATATAGCTGAGAAATTGTATTGTTTCCCATTTTTCCATGCTGTGAAAAAATGAAAACCTTAGGCACTTCCTCTGACTAGGAACAACTCATTATAACTTGTAGATGTCTAATTAGAGATCAAAACCATGTAGATCTAAACCATAAAATGTTTACACTATTCATGTAGACAAGTTAATGAAATAAAAAAAATAGGGACTTTTTGATCAAAGAGTCTTTTTCTCTCCAATTACTGTAAAAGAAACTTCTTAAGAACGACATGAGCAGTGGGACAGCACCTACAAGATCAGTACTTTGCACTTCTGAGGTTACACAGATTGTATTTTTGCACTCACCACCTATGAAACAGCCCTGAGTATTTGTAAGAAGCATCACTATGAAATATATCATCCGGCTTTTGTAGTGTTTGTGTTTATTCTACCTCTGCTTCCTCAGTGACTGCGTTTGTGTACACATGCAGTCTAAGAAAATCTAGTTAAACTTGTTATCCAGGGTGAGGAAAGGAATGAAAAACTGGTCTGTCATTATTATTACTGAAGACATAACTGATAACAACTTCTTTTTTTCTAGCTGCTTTTAATACAGGTGAAAGCCTCAGAAACACTGTTTTAATTATGCTTTACTTCAAACCAACAAGGTGTTAAAATAGACCACGATCAGACACAAAGCAGCCAAATACAGACACAAACATATTTTCATTTATGCTAATTTTTAAACTGCTCATTAGAAGATTGCTCAGATAATATTTTTGAAACCAGATGTCCATTATGTGCTGTGCTGCAGATACAAAGCAGAGATGAAGGTTCCTGCATTGTATTCACATAAACACCTCAAAGAGGCAATAGAAACACTCTAATGGGAAGGGTACCTTTCTGAAGATGACATTCATCCCAGCTAATTCAAGGTCTAAGCACCTCCATCTGAGTAGAATGACTCCCAGGCTCCAGGCTCTTATTACAGTAATTACAAATCTAATCAATACAGCCAAAGATTTTTAGGGTTTTTAGGGTGGGGATCATTTGAATAAAGTAATCAACTCCATATTGACCTAAATTTCACTGGCTGGTATTGACTCACATTAACTGCAAAGGGATCTTCAGGATGACTTTCCCAGATGCAGAAAGGTTCGCTGTTGACATCTAAATTTAGCTGCACAAATTCAGCAGCCAAAGTCCTTTTAATGTCACAAGACGAGTTGCTCTAGTCACTCACATAAGTAAAAAAGCTCTGGAAAGGGGATGGACGCCACTTATCGTTTAAATTTTCCTTTCACTTGGGAGCTATTCTCACTTTTCTGTTTATTTAATATTTCCCAGCACTTTTTAAAGAGGAAAGACTCTAGGTAAACCTTGAAGGTCTCTTCCAACCTAAACCATTTTATGGCATTATAGAATCCTACCCTGTTTCTGCAGGTGCTAGTCAACAACATTTATCACCTGTTCCAGTTACAGAATCACAGAAATTCACAGAAATTCTGGAGATAAAGCAGAGTGATCAGGGCTGTGTCCAGTTGGATTTTGAATAGCTCCAAAGCTGGAGGCTCCATAACTCTCAGCAATCCATTTCCCCAATTGGTCAATCTTATACTAAAAAAAAAAAAAAAAAAAAAAAAAAAAAGGGTTTTTCCATAACTCTCAGCAATCCATTTCCCCCATTGGTGAATCTTTTTCTAAAAAAAAAAAAAAAAAAAGAAAAAAAAAAGTGTTTTCATATGCTCAAAAGTTTTTTCATATTTTTCAGGCTGAGATCACTGCCTTTGGACCTGTCAATATAAACCACTGAGAAAAGCCTGCTTCTACCTTCTTTATCCCCCTGCCTCGGGTATTTATAGATGGGAAAGGTTCACCAGAGCCTTCCCTTCCCTAGGCTGCAGTCCCAGCTCTCTCAGCCTCTCCTCACATGTCAGAGAGCTCCTGTGCAGGCACACACATGTCTGTGTCCAGGAGAAAAAGAACACAGATCCTCTGGAGCTTGGACAGAGTTCTCCAAGCACTGGGATGAAGAGCACCATGGGCTGGACATGAACCCAAACCCTGTGTCCAGCAAAGGCCATTGATCTTAGCAGGCTCTGCAGCTGCTGGGGATTCTGAATTTTGATTTGCAGGCAGGGAAAATATTTATTGAAATTTAAATATTTAAAATGCAAAAAGCCATTTCAATGAGAAATAGGTAATCTACAGGCTTGGAATGCAGCAAGAGAGATTCTCCAGACATAAACTGACTAAAAGATGTTCTTGGGCCAAAAACCTAACAGACTTCATATACCTTTCAGGTTTGCTTGAGGATAAAAATGAATTTAAGTTACTGAGAGGGAGTTTGAGTTCTGTCATACTCTTAGGTTTGATTAAAGATGGTTTTTTGCTTCTTGGGTAGTAATAATTATGCTGAGTTTAGCAGTTCTACTCATGGACTATACTGTTTTATCTTAGTTGTTATACAAATAGAGAACTAAATAACAAACTTTAGAAAGAAATTAATTAAAATTATGCTGGAATATATCCTAGGTTTTCTTTAATGTCTTGGGAACTTTACTGGTATAAATGTGTCTGACTTGAGGCTTTGTCTGTCTATATTTCTGTGAGTTATTTCTATTATTTTCATAATCATTAAAAGGAAACAGATGTATTTTCTTGATTTTTTTTTTCCTTCATGCCTAAAGAGAGAGGGCAAATAAAAAATTATGCTTCTATGAAAGCTGACAGATCTCTTCACTGAGAACTGTTAAAACAGACCGTAAAGAGCTGCTCCAGCCGTGTGGTAGCTCTGGGCTGCAACAGGAACCTGAGGTAAGGATCCATCCTCCAGCCCTCCTTAGCTCAGAGAGGAATCTTTCCCCTCTTTGAGGTTTACACTGTAGACTCTGCTTGTTTTTTTTTATTCTGGGCTGTTCTGGCTGTGAATTAAAGAGATGGTCTTACAGGAAGATAAATTATCCAGAGTAATAAATAATAATTTGTCCCTACCTGCTGTTGTTTCAAATCAAGTGAGATCTCTGTCTGGACAAATATGGGGATGCATATCACACTGTGTAAATAAGCTGTGATAATACAACCTTTGACATTTGCAAATTTATATGGATTTAAGACTTTCTCATAGATACAAATCCCAATGAACTTCTCTGTTGGGGAAGGCTCATCCAGATAAATCACAGTCCATTATTAATAGTAGATGACCATTATATGTGCAGAGGTTTTGGGTGGTTGAATGCTTCTTCAAAAGTGTGAAACAATGACAGTCATTAGAAGCTGACCGAGATGATTGAAGGTGGTCCACGAAATTACCAAGTAGAATTCTGCCTCAGTGAAAGGGCAGAGTGATCCAAATCTCATTAAAGTCCATGCAAACACTCTCACTGACTTCACCCAGCCTTGCATCAGGCCCATAGGAAAGGTCTTGCAGCTGCTCTGCAAAGTCATGGAATGAACAGATGGGTTTTGGTGGTGAGCACTGAAAACATGGACATGAAAACAGCTCTTCAGTTATTAAAGGTCCTTCCCAACATGTCAAACTCGGGCAGGGAGGGAGTCTGTGCCAATGCTGGACCCTCAGCACAGGTGTCTTGAGTTGGACCCCACAGAAAGGAAATGTTAAGCCCTTGACTTTGTCTTGCCATTTTTTGTTTAATTTAGTTTTGTTTTATCTTATTTTGAGTTTTATTTTCAGTGTTCTGGTGAGCCTGTTTCCAAGGCACTACTGTCTTTTAATGTTTTCAAACTGAAACCTTCCCATATGCAAATTTACACTAATTAAATCCATGTCACAACACACTTTATCTGCTTTCCTCTGAAACTGCTGCATACTTTATAGTTTCAGATGTACATTGCAAAGTAGCTTCCAAATATCACAGAGCTGAAATCCTGTGACATCATCTCATTCATGGTGTGAATGTAGAACCTAAATTAATCGGTGAGGCTGGTATTGGAGACAGCATCTTGTAACATGAGGATCTAAATTTTCTATTTCTGAAACCCCTAAGAGAGTATTAAAGGGAAAGCAGGAAATCTATGGTTGTTTACATTTTTTTTACTCTAGTTCCTTGTAGCCGCTAATATTCTGATTTTCATTTCCTGACAAAAAAATACAGTAAATATACTTTGCTTCTGTGTTTAGGATTCAACAGATCATCAGCTTTGAACATCAACATCACATTTATCCTAAGTCAGATAACCTTTCTCTGCAGTTGGGGTGCAATTCATGGCTTAACTCATTTGAAATTAATCTCCTCCATCTGTGGTGGCAGGGAATGGCCTCTGAAAACCCTTTCTGATCACTTTGATGAAGGTTTCAAAATGGGCCTGATATAACAGCTTTTCTTTACACATAAATTTTAATGATGTATTTTCAGGATAGAAAATAAAAAAAAAAAAAAAGGCAAGGAAAGGAAGAAAAAAGGTCACAATACTAAGAAAACCTGTGGTGTTTC